AAAAAAAAAAAAACTCTAGTGAGGCTACCCACCGGCAACGATAAACGCATGAAGGCCCTCCTTCTCATTTTGGTCCCCTGTAATAGTAAGCCCATTGCAGAAAATGGACCTCCTATCCCAAGGGGAAAATCCAAATCTGAACCCTCACAACCACAACCACTGTATCTGTATGTATGTGTATGTATGTGTAGGAGCAATAGAAAATTGAATAAGAAAGAAAGAAGCTGAAAACAGGATACCAAAAGAATAAAGTCCTATGGCAGTCCGCAAAAGGCTGTATATGAAATTATGAATAAGACAGTTGAGGAGGTGGTTTACATATACATAAGCAGAGGTAGGTGTGTGTGTGTGTATTATAGTATATTCGCGTGTGTGTGTGAGAGAGAGAGAGAGAGAGAGAGAGAGAGAGAGAGAGAGAGAGAGGCATAAGGTAAGGATAGCGATTAGTATTATATAGTGTATTCATTCATTCATTCATATGGTTGCGCAAGTTTTAAGGAACAAAATCCAGAATAAAAAATAAATGACGAAAGAGCCCTTGCTTTCGGTCACTCTTGTCGGGCGAGGGGTAAATGAATAATAGTGTTTGCCATTCTCACCTCCACCTATCATTACCATTCTTCTCTTGTTAATTGCAACTCTCAAGTACATCAAATCAAATGAATGATAAAAAGGAATTTTTTCAATCACAACATTTCAATTTCAATAATGAACCTCTCCTCCATCTTCAAGGCGAATCATCCATAAAATTTTCTCATATGAATCATCCAAAAGGTTTATTTTAGTCTTAGAGCGTGCTTGTTTACTCACTTAGTAAGTTTTTTATTGATTTTCTTTTTTTTTTTTTAACTGAGTTAATTGTAAAAAAAATTGGTATGATTAGTTGTTGGTGATATTTTAAATTAGTATTAAATTAATATTTAAAATAAATTAATTTGATGTAAAAATATGAGATAAATAGTTGAAAGTGATAGTTTGTTAAATTTATGTGAGTGAATGAGTAGTGATTACATAATACAAAAGAATAGTTGATTGTTGTATTTAATTATATTGATTGATAATAATGTGGATAGTGAAATTAAGTTAAAACTGAGTTATATATAGAGTGTGAGTTTTAATATTTTTATAACAAACTCACCTTTAATGTTTAAAATTTAAATTTGATGTTAACTAGCACAATACACGTGTGATACACGATTGCTTGTTAAAAAAGTATATTTAAATTTTCCTAAAAAAATTGTTTTAATTTCTAAATACATTTTTGAAAAGTATATTAATATGTATATTTAAAATGACATTTGTCACTTATACGACTTACTATCTTATATTATAATTATTTTTTAATTTATATTATATAAATATTTTATAGTGAAATTAATTTAAATAATTCTATTTTCTCCAATTAATACTAATAGGTAATTTATTTTTTTATCATAAAATAAATATAATTTTTTATTTATTATGGTGTACAATATAGATTTCAAATTGAGGCTCGCCAAGACATGATTAGTTTATTATATTATACATAAAAATTGATAATAATTAAATAACTTATTGACTTTTTTAATTATTTAACTTTTAGAAACTTTTGTAACAAAATTACAAAGGCAAAGTCCTAGCAAAATTCTTGTCAAAGAGATGAGATTTTGTTGGACTTATGAGAGTCTCTGTTAGGGTATATTGTAAAAGACCGGCTTTCAGTTTCTGACAATGCCATTTGAATGTGATTCATGTTTTAGTCAAGTGAATGTTTGCAGTTTATTTATTTACGCAAACACAGTTCCTTTATTTTTGCATTGTAAACAAGATGATTCGATTTGTCGAACAGAAAGATCATATTATTGCTTTCTTGTAACATATAAATATTTGTTCAAGCCAGACAATATTGAACTAATTATCATAAAAGGGCGTAGTGTAATTGTCGAGTGAGTTGATCTTTGACTACCGAATTACACTGCACTTATCGGATGTATTGAACAGACCTACAACGAATAAGATTATTTTATATTATCCAAGTAAATAATATATATATATATATATATATATATATATATATATCACTAATTGTTCCGTTCTCTTAACCTGTAACACTATAAATAGGCAAATAAATTCAGTTATTTTTTATTTGATTTACCAAAAGCGAGACATATTATGTTAGGTCAATAGACTCCGTATTTGGGTAAATATGTTCGATTACATGATGTGCTGTTGAAATTGTTCATGGTCATTGTGTCCCAATTTGTTGGGTTGATGACGTCCCTAAAATGAGCTCAAGAAGAATTATTAAGTCAAGCCCTAACGACTGATTAATTTTCGACATAATAATAAAGAATTAAGTTCCATTAGTTTTAGTTCAAGAAGTTGATTAATTGTGTTGTCAGTAATTAAATTAGTCAATGAATGTTAGATATTAAACATTGTGAGGTAAATCGAGCAATTAGCCAGGAGATGAACTATTTGTAATTCGGAGGCTAAATGGGGAGTCCAATAATGTTTATTTAGTGGAATGAAATATTATAAATATGAATGGAGTGGGTCAGACTCACAGTTGGATTCATATTTGGGAACTCCTATTTAGCACCTCCTTAGAGGTACCTGTTGTAGCCAATAAATACACCAAGTTCTTAACCTCCAAACAAACAAACACCCACAAATGAAACTCAATCTTCTTGTGCAGGAAATCGAGAGAGAAATTGATAAGCTAAAGAAGAAATAAAATTGTGAGATTTTTGAGAGGCTTAGGAGATTCGACAATTCGTCCACCATGAAAAATCAGAGAATGTGATCAGATATACAACAGAAGACACTAAGGTTGTCCCTTCGTATCCCAAAAAATATATTGTTCCCCATCACGTAGCCCGAGGCTAGCGTACGCAGCAGCCTTGACCACCATTCACCACCGCACACGGCGGCATACCCGACGACAGTAGGCGCGTGACCCGACAAGTCCAGGTGACCGGGAAAGATCACGACAACAGGGCGTGCAACCCCGACAACTTTGCAATGCAACGCGACCAAGACATAGCACGCGACAATCTCCGATGACAGGACGCTACCCTAGTGGTGGCTTAGTATCCAAGGCGAGCACTCTGACGACTCAATCAAATACGGTGCACGATGGGAACAAGGGAAGAAAGCGCAACTCAGAATCGTTTGTCTAGCCCCATGGGTTGTGTAGCCTTCTCTGAGTCGGCAAAGTTTAGTTCCTAATCCTAGCTATAGATATAGATGCGTTAGGATTTATTATTTAGATTTGGGTGTGCACATTGTTCGACGTTCCTAATGGAACCCATTAACTGATATTAGAGCCAAGTTAATTCGATCTTTGTGCACTGAATTTAGACTTACATGAACATACGTGAATTAATTGTGTACACGCATAATACATAATATATAAGAATTGCAAATAAGTTATGTTCGCAGTAATTCTTGAATATGACTATTATGGCTCGTATGTATGTGTTTAATTTCATGTATGTTTGTGTTTTGAAAGCCTCAGACATGTCGAGGATATTTGGATGGTGAAATGATTGCAATAATTTAAACGTGTGGTGGGACATCGCATAGTTGACATTTTTGTTAGATCTTTCTTGTACGACCCTTGCGTGGTTCATAGGCTCGAATTATATAATTATGTATTATTTTTTTCGACGAACCTGACGAACGTGGACTAGCCCGAATGATCAAGATCGTGCCAGAAACAGTTGCTTGTTCGAGAAGGAAAGTGGGAGTCACCGTGAAAATAAAATTCCTAGTCCAAAAGGGAACCTCAGTCCTACAAGGACAAGAATTTCTACTTTTTAAGATTGGAAACTTAATTATTTGTCATAATGGTTGGATATTATTTTTTGGTTTATTATTACCTTTAATTATGCATGTGCCTAATTAATTTGTTGCTTTATGTGCAAGAATAATTAATTTTTGTAGAAACATGCTTAGGATAATCTCTTAATGAAAAATATACTAAGTGTTTAATGTAATTAAATAAATTTAAAATTCCACGACCTCCATTACTGGTTATTTGATGAAGTAATTAAGCTTGCGAGTTGGCACTAGAGCCTTACTCCCTATTGGATGAGTTTTAAATTACAATTCACTAGAACAAATTTCATTCAGGATGGTAGTAGAAAGCAATTTTAAAAGCATACGGGCTTCCTCATCGGGGGACATATAATTTTGGTAGTGGTCTTAATACCAAGTAATGGGTCGCACTAAGGGTACATATAACAATGGTCTCCGCATCAGGATTGCCACTGTTATTTGTTCTCTCCAAAAGTGTATTGACTATTAATTTTGTGTTGGAATATTTAAAGGTCGACACGAATGATTAACATGATAAACCCT